ATTTACTTTCTTGTAACTGGTTGAATTTCCTATTTTTTGGGTTCCAACAAAACACAGACATAGATGTCAAAGTGTTTAATCCTATTCAGACTAAGCGTGAAAAAAGTGATATGTTTCTTGTTGGACTCACGTGAGATCTTCTGAAAATATTGCAAAGGCACATCTACCCAGTTGTTTACCTTTTGCTATCACACATTTTGTGAAGTTGTGTCTGTTTCTGATAAAGCTTTGTAGAATCATAAAGAACAAAATGCCCTTTTCCAAATACTTGACTATGGTTGCCCAGTAGCAGATCAGCTCATTCTTCCAGCATATGTTCCTGAGGCATCCCATTTGTGCGCTGTGTCCTACTTTAAATCCACATATCCCCAAATCACTATGTTGAATTAAATTAATTCATTTTATTATTAATAACTTGTATAAGCGCACATATGTTTCACCTCCCCGGACTTTTGAACCCTGCCATTGCGTCCCAATGACCCTCCTCACCTTGACCCTGGACCCTGATGGAATTGCGTGTGGAATTGCGTGTAGTCCCAGCAATAGCAGCCACTCCTGGCTGGCACTGCTCAGGCTACAGAGCTGCAAACTAATTAGGTTAGTTAGCACCTCTCTAAGGCAGGATTTCCTCCAAAGATAAAGGTAGAAACCTTGCCTTTAAAGCAATTAGCAATGCTCCCAGCTTTAAATTGCAGCAGGGCAGCTGTCAGGATCGTGGGTGGGCAGCCCACTGAATTTTGAGATGTGAAGGTTGGGATGGAGGGACTGGTGCCATGCAGTATTCAGCCCGTTGAGTTAATAGTACATCATACCCCATTTATTTGACTTCGAAAACTAGAAGTTTTTTAGCATTTGAAAGTTTTCACAAATTATGTTTGGAAATACTACCAATGTTTTGTGTGAATAAATCTTACTACATACTTTTAATGGCTGTAAATATGCAGTCAAACTGTAGACTGGGTTTATGGTAAAATTCCATAATGATTTTTGTGATATTATTGCACATTTTCTATGTATAAAAGAAGTAGATATGTGCTACTCACCTTGAATGAAAAGCAATCATCACATAAACATTATTTTCTCTAAACAACAGATTTTGAATATCAAAAATTGTGTTTATAATGATTTCCCCATTCACTTGCTAGCAACTTCTGATAAAATAAAAGATTGCTCATACCATTTAACAAAAGGAACCTTGCCTATGGTTAACAGTCCTCAACATTTATGGAAACTTACAGTTGTACTTAAGTTTACACTATCAAGTTGATTAGACTTGACACGTGGATTCAATAGCACCTATTTTAATCAACAGTCATGACTTTGTTTTGAAGGTGACCTTTTTGAGAAGCGTATTGTTAGAATTATCGGGAGTAGAACCATAGAGACATGGAAAAGTTAGATCATAGAAAGAAGCTGTTCAGTCTATTGTATCTGCATTAGCTGAATAAAACAGCTGCCATTCTAATCCCATTTCCAGTATCTGATCTATAGTCGTCTTAGTCACTCGTAGGGCATGAGTGTTGCTGGCTGGCCAGCATTTATTGTCCTAGCTGCCCTTGAGAAGCTGGTGGTGAGCTGCCTTCTTTAATCACTGCAGTCCATGTGCTGCAGGTAGGCCCACGATGCATTTAAAGAATTCCACCATTTTGACCCAGTGACAGTGAAGGAACAAAAACCTATTTCCACCTCAGGATGGTGAGTGGCTTGGACAGGAACTTGCAGGTGGGTGGTGTTCTCAAGCAGCTGCTGCTCTTGTCCTTCTAGGTGGAAGTGGTTGTCGGTTTGAATGGTGCTGTCTAAGGATCTTTGAATTTTTGGTTACGGCATTTAAAGGTGTTGAGGGTTTTGGTCAGTATATGCACACATTACCAAATTCCTCAAATCAGTTCTGTCTGTCTAGCATTAAACGTAGTTAAAGAAAATTACAGTCAGATACAAGTCAGCTAATCTTAGGCATAACATTAAATTTTATCACAAGTCAGTATCTTGGAGGGTGAGGGGAAGAAATTAAGTCCTATCTGATCTACTTTGATAGATGTAAGGAGTTAACTGCAGTATAATGATCCAGGATATTTGTTGCGTACGGCAGAGTAAGAGGACGCAGAAGACTTTGCAGCCTGTATCTTTGATACACCAGAGGATTACCACAGTAATAGACAAATGTTCACAAGTGGTTAAATAAGGAGTGAACTGTAGTTACCATTTAATGTGTTTAGTTAGAGACTTAATACTTGATTCAAATTGTTAAGTTTAATCAATTACATATGCTACATCTAACTGCAATTATTTAATATCAGCAAAGCTAGAATATCAGTTACATTGTGGAAATGTAAACAGGACAGATTTATCAAAAAAGTTTCACCTGTTTTCAGACACCATAATTAAAAATTAATAACACCTGGTGACTTGTAAATTATGGCTGTACAGAGCCATTTTATTAGTTTATCTGCAGTGATGAGAATATATGGAATTTAGATTTAGTATTGATGCAAAAATGAAGGCCTTTTAGGCCAGTTTTAATTAACAAAAGACAATGATTGGGCGGAAGAACTCCGTTTCAGACTATACTATCTGTCACACCAAGAGTAGCCTTCAGGTAAATCAGTTGGGGTGGTAGGACGGCAAAAATTTTCAACAGCTGAAAGGGTTGCTGTGGAACTTGGGGAAGCAATTAAGTTCTTGGTGGAAGCTGCAGGCACATGGAGGCCTGATGCCTGCTCCATTGGAAACAGTCCAATTTGTTAGAGGGGACCTAAAACTATTTTTAATCTCTTTTTATTATTAAATGTAAGGAGCCCTAATTTTACTCTGGTTAGAATTTTTTCCAAAAAAAACAAAAGATACAATACCGCATAATGAAAGATGTAAAGGCCTAACAACCATGAGCAATAGCATGCATAATTTCAGACATCAGGAAACATTTATTTTTAAAAAACAGGGAAATTTTAATTTCATGTGGACTAAGAGTTGCAGACAGTTCAAGTTGTAAATATATTGAATTTGTAGATTGTACTGAAAGCTATGATCCTGATTTTTAACTTCTTTTGTTATTTGGAAACCTAACTGCTGAGCATTTACAATGCAATTTGTAACTTAACCTCTTTAATTGTTTTTGATTTCCCAACAGTACTACTGTTAACTTGCTCCTTTGAGCAGATGAATAGGACATCTGTCCCAAGAAAGCATTCTTCTTTCAATCTGCTTGTATAGGATGCAGAACAACACTTTTCACTGTATCTCAGTACATGTGACAACAATAAATCCAGGTCCAATATGATGCTCGGGGCCAATTGCACTATTGAGCCTTAGACTGAAATAACAGACTGATGTCTGAGGAGACCAGTGAAGACTTCACTGTCAATTCGGACCTCGAAAGTGTTGACAAGCCAGGAGAAGTCTGGTGGGCCAGGAAAAGGGAGGATTGCACTCCTCAAGTCCATAAAGAGTTGGGCTTTCCTTGTCACTGATTGCCCTTCCCTGTTATCAAAGAGACACACCTGTCCTAATTGAATTGAGCCCTTTGCTCCTCCAATCATGTCTCCAACCACCGTCCACTAATTTTTCGACTGCTTTGGTTTAATTCTGCAGGACCTTGACTTCATGTTCCTGCTGTCTGAATTCCTGGCTTTCATTCACTAGTTTGGTAGTGGATTTAGCCAGATTTAGGCAAGGATGGAGAAAGTGTCTTCAGATCAAATGGCTGTTAAGTTCGACTGAGCTTCAGACTTAGCAGTTTTGCCACCTGCTTTGAAATTTGCATGCATCATACTTTCAACACCCTTTTAAAATTAGGTTTACTTCAGAAGTAAGACGTAAATTGAACACATTTAATTGAACTGAGCTGTTAACAGATAAACCTGTTAACATCAAAAACACAGTGGCAGAAACTCCAGAAAGTTTTTAGGACAATATTTATAAGAAAAATGCATATCCTTCTCTAACTTTTTTGGTAGGCATCCTTGGAGCATAGGACATTGATCATGTACATTATTATGCTAATTCTATGGGCATAAAATAGGAGCAACAAGACCCAATTTCTGCCTGAGGTGTTTAACTTCGTAGTTTGATAACAGTGTGAGAAAGAATTTAAAAAATTGTTAACTGGATACAAGAATTGGATTTATTTTCCTAGTCTAGGGAGAGGAAAATCAGCACAACTGGTTACCATTCCACTATCTATCAATCCCACTGAAAAGTTAATGTCTGTAACTTTGTATCAGAATAGGTTTCAGCTTGGTGACAGTGTCCTCCACAGTCAGATAATCCTCCATTTTAAATAAGGCCGTTTGAGTAAGGGAAGGCATTTGACACTCTGGAACCTCAGGATAAACTGCAATGCCAAGCTCACAGCAGAAGAGCTGTAATTCAAGATTTTGTGGGTCAGAGATGGAACTGCCATATTACAATCTCTTTCTCCAACCAGCATTCTGTCTGAATGTGGTTTGGCCGGGAATTGTGAAATGTATCCTCTTTAGAAGGATATGGCAGAGATAGATGGGGTGAAAAGAACATTAACACTGGCATAGGCCTATGGGCTGGATGATGTGTTTCTGAAAAGAAATACAATTAGAGGGGACTTTTCTGTGAAAGAAACCTTTTTAAGTGTGGTGGCCTTTAGTAGAAATCAAAGCTCTGCAAAGATTAGCAACTCCCTGGAATAATGCTTCCTCTGGGAGCAATACCAAGACTGTTATGGTGAAATGTGCTTTGTAACAAGTATTTTACAACTTTATTAATCAGACAGAACAGCCTTGTTTCTGTCTTGTGTGTTTACAGCAAGTTTTTTTTGTCTTACACTGCCAGAGAATCATACCAAATTGGTTTGCTGTCCTTATAGTGCAAGGAAATGCAGTTCATCCACTATTGTTGTTTGTATTTATATAAAAATTGGTCTCCTTCTAGCCCATGCTTGTTATCTTTTTCATTTTGTAACTAAAGCAGTGATGCCAAACAGTATTTCTCTATTTAATCACCGATGATTTTTTTTTTCCCCATTTAAGGCCCTGCAGAACAATGGAGGAGCTGGTTCATGATTTGGTCTCTGCTCTGGAAGAAACCTCTGAACACACAAGGGGATGTCCAGAGTTTGGAGATGAAGCATCCCGGAGTTCAGCTGCCTGCCTTCTAAAGCGCCAGGCTAGGAAAAGGAGAGGCAAAAAGAGGCGGTCAGAAAGCGGACATCATATCTGGGAGCACGGCCACTGCATGAGTGAAGGCTCTGAATCTAGCTTGGATGAGGCAATCCGGGACTACAGAGAAAATAACACTTACAGTGACTCAGATGACCACTTAATAGTTGCCAAACGTCTGTCTTCCCTGAACGTAACAGCCATTAGGGGAAAACGGCATTCATGGCATGAATCTGACTCTGTCACCGACAGTAACTTGGGTGGTAGATCTTTGCGAAGGAGAAGGAAGGTCAAACGTATGGCTGTAGATCCACCAGCAGAGGTCAGTAATGTACTTCACCCGCTGCCCCAGGGCAAAGCTCTAGTCTTGGACTTGGACAGACACCAGTCACAATCAAACCAGCTCCGCTTCCAACTTCAAGTCCAGGAGATCAGTAAGGACAAGATCATCAAGAGAAAACAGCTAGAAGTCCCAGATGATGGAGTTGTTGTGGAAAGTGAAGAAATGTGCAATACAAATAAGAACAAAATGGAGTATGAGGAACAAAAAGGCTCAGATGATAACATGAGTGACAGGTTATTAAGATTAAGTTGCAGGTTATCTATCCTGAGACAAGTTGTTGTATTTAAATATAACTGCAGGGTTTGAAATACTTTCAGCAGAAGTGCCAATACTTGTTCACGTTGAATTTCAAATCTGCACACCAGGGAGCACTCAAGTTGCAATAAAACTGTGGAGTCACAATTTCTGACCGCTCCTGTTGAATAATCGTTGTTTTTCTTGGCATTTGGATGTACCTAATCTACTTGGCAATAAATATACACAAATGTTCACTACTTCCGTATGCAGAAGTGTAACTGCATAGATAAAGTATTTCAATCCCTGTACGTTATTTTTGCATTAGTACACAACATATTCTGAAGCAGCAGTTCAATAGCTATACTAATTTTAATGATTTCTTTTTAGTGATATTAGGGGAAAATTTGTAGAATTGCCTTATATTCGTTTCAAATTAGCATAATGAGACATAATATCCTGATACAGATTGAGGTAAACCTTGATCAATATAAATATTGTTTTTTGGTTTTGACATATAAGAAGGAAATACATTATGCTTGGCTGTGGAATGATTACAATTTTTCATGGGTGATCTACAATGTTTAAAAACTAAACAATAAATTTATCAATGTAATTAGCTCACTTATGAAGTAAAATAAAGATAACTTTAAATCTTTAAATTGTTTAGATACGTCATCCACAATGGCAGAGTGGTAACCAATCATATTATATAAGGCCATGATCAGCCTTTGTCTGCTGCTGTGGCCCAAACTAATCCTATGATTGTTCAAAGTTATACATGCTCCATTATTGTGGTGCATTGAAGGGTCGTAACTAAATAGGATGTTGAAAAGGTATTTAATGTTTTGTGGGACAGTTTTTAAAGGGTTAAATCCTAATACCACAACAGCTATGAATTACAATTGTCTGAGGGACTTACATTCAGGGGAGAGAAGATCTGCTGTCCTATGAGTGATTTATACAGAATCATTTCACAGCCATATGGAGTAAATAGGTCATTTTTTTCACTCTTTTGTGGTAAGTGAATATAATTGGCTACTTGGGGGCAAGGACGGATTATAATTATGTTGCATGACTGAAAGACCCAGATTTTGCAGTTGTAATGAAGGTAAACTGTGAGCGCCATCATTACTGCTCTGAAATTAATGTAAACCTTTGGAATCCTCATTTGTACAGCTAAATCCAGAAGTTGCAGTAAGTGATTTCCTCATAGCGTGCACTGTTGAAGAGCCCTTCCTCGACTTCAATCAAATAGAAATCAAAGAGCTAATGATAAGTTGCCCTTTATACTATTAGTCTTACTGGAGAAACACTTGAAAATCTTCCACCACCATGTTGAATGATGTGATTGGCCTTCTAATAGCTTTTCCATTCATAATTGCTGCTAAATAATCTCATTGGTCCTGGGAAAAGTAGCTTCATATTTACACAATGTCACATTTCTCCAATATGATTTTAAAATTCATATTTCTTAAAATATTTGTTTACTGTTTGTCAACTTCAGCCTTAATACCATACGTATGTCCCAACCATTATTGCACTCTCTGTAAAATTTTAATTAAAAATGAAAATTCCGTCCATTTTACTTCCTGATTTGCTGTCTGAGAATATTTCAATGCAATTGGCTGCTTGCCCTGCTTGATGGCATCTCACTGTTGCTGAATGCCTGGAGATTCCCTTGAAAATGACCTCAGATTCAGACTGACATCATGAAAGGGAGAATTCGTTCCTGAAAGATCACTCTATTTTTATGGACAGCTATCTTTGAAGTCAGGGCTGAGCATGAAATTGGGGCCAATGTAATTACATATCTCAGATTGGAAATGAGTTTCTTCTTTGACTCCTCCCACATTCCCTATATACTATTAATTGGCTAAGAAATGTACCAGTACTACTTTGTGGCTCATTGATAGAATATGTCAGAGTTAGTAGGTTAGTACTACTTTTTTATTTCGCCTTTTAATGAAAACCAACTTTCTTGTACTTTGTGCTTGCCACCGATCTGTATTGGCATCATGACCATGAAGAAAATGTAGCTATTTGTTGATTGTAATCCTCTTGAAGCATCACCATCTGGCAATGTTTTCTATCATTCAGTTCAAACTGCTGGAATGGTAGTGTGGCTTTTATCACTAAATCTCATCCCGTCTGACTCCATACTGGTACTTCTTTGAGCTATCAGTTTGTTTCACCTCTCCTAGGTCTGAGGTTGAAGTCCTTGTTCTCTCATTGCGCTCTCAAACCCCACCCTATGTTTTTTCAGACGTAAGCTGTTTTCCTTCCTCAGACACTTGCACAAGTGACTTCACACCCTCAATGATTTCAAACTCCATTTCAATTCATGTATTTCTCTCTTCTGAGGTCACTAAATCTCTCCCATATAAATTCTCCAACTCGTATTCACAACCATCTCTTGATCTGATATGTTTTGCTATAACAATATTTTCTTGTGTATTCCCATTGCTTCAATCCTAGAGAAGATCATCTCAGATAATGCCTTGTAAACTTACAACCATTTTCCACTTCCTCCAGTGTTGGCCTGAGGGAAGAACTCTTCATTCAAGTCACTTTACAACAGTGATTTTAAAATTGTCTTCTGTCTAACTATTTGATCTCCATTCACCATTCTCCCCTGCAGCTACTGGTTTACTCAATCAGCCTCACCTCAAACCTTGATGCTCTTAACCGTGATTAAAAAAAATTACTCTTCCACATTGGTTGTTTACCATGGCACAACCGCATCATTGCTGCCTTAAATCAAAGGGACTCAGGTTTGAAGGTAATGACAAATTTATTATCAAATGCCTTTGGAGCATGTCTAGCACAACTCTTTGCCGAAGTTCCTTAATGTTGTTTCTTGTTTCTTATTGCGTCATCTTGGAATGATGAGAACTCATCCAACTTTTTCTTTGCGTCTAGCACTCTCTTTAAATGACTTTCGCTTCCCTGTACGTGTTTCAGCTGTGACATTGATTATGCAAAGCTTATAGACTCCGTCACTGAAGTGGAAATCATCCATTCAGCTGCTTATGCTGCTCTTCTCCTTTCCCATGGCTCACCAAGCCACACCTCAGCCCCCCCGACCATTGTCCTGAAACTGCCTTTACTTAGTTTCTCTCTTGTTTGGCCTGGTTCCCTCTAAGCTTTTATTCATCTTATGAGACATGCCACGTCCTCCCTTGACTCATTAAACAGCTGGACCATCTTTCCTTATGTACCCCCATCAGATACTTTAAATATCTCGTCTCCTCTGGTCTATCTGTCTTGCTTTTGAATTGACCATCTTCACCTGTCTCCTCAAGTCCAGCCAGGACCCATTCATCATTGCTGTCTATTGCTCTGTCTCCATCCATTTTCTCAGGATCTTGAAAAATAATCCTAAAATAAAATATGGAGTTCCATATGTATACTGAAAACACCAGGATTTACCTCCACATGTTGCTCGAGTCCTTTAGTGCTACTATATTGTCAGACTATCTGTCCTGGATAAGCCATAATTTAATCCAATTGAACATTGCAACTACCAAGTCTAAAGTCTTTGGTTCACTCTGCCCGTTTCCATTTCCACTCTCTCAAGCTGAACCAGATGGTTTCCAACATTTCTGTTTTACTTGACCCGATCTAAGTTTCAGACCCCGTATCCTGTCTTATCATTTTCAACCTGCTTCAGTCCATCTGCTGAAATCTTCATTCATGCCATTGTGACTTCCACACCTAACAATTTTGACTCACTGCTGACTAACCTATCTTCCTGCTTCTGATCTCCATAGCCATCCACAGCGCTGCTGCTCTGCTTTAAGCTTGCACCAACTGCTGTTCACCTACTCAACAAATTGCTGAGTGCCTGTTATTCATCTCATCCTGCCTACATGGTCAAACATCATGTTTGAACTTTAGAGAATTAACGGTGCTCATCTGATGTGCGTACACATCTCTTAGCAGGCAATGCTAGATGGTAATTTGGAGTGGGAATACTTGCTGTATTTTCCCCCATTTCGCAACTCCGAAGTAATGATGTCCATTGGAGTATCCTTATTACAGTGTCAATTGAGATGCAACCTAAGTATTGATTATAAGCATGCCTGGTCCCTATGTCCACATTGGATGGTGAATTTAATAATCCACCCAAAATGAGGGCTGTATATTTTGTAAATCAATTTTGTAGTGTGCATGCACAATTCTGACCTCTTGTGAGAGTCTTTTAAATTAAAGATCTTAGAAACGTGTTAGTCTTCTGTTTTAGTGTAGTGAATTTGTATTGTTGGATCCAGCTTATGGTGTGACAGAACTGCATTTTTAACTCACCTTATTCCATGTATTCCAAAAATGAACTTGGCAAAGAGAATTGGAACTTAATTATTCCATCTTCATTTAAAAAGACAGAATGCAGTTATTTTATTTTTAATTCTGATGATTAGTAGAGTGGTTAGACTTCAAATTAGAGACATGGCAATGATCTTGTTTGAATTTTACTCAATTTTAACAGTTCATTCAAAACTGTATGTTGAGTTTAAGCTATTTATAAAAAGCATAAGCTTTCATCAATAGGATTGGCAGGTTTGACCTGTTCACAGAGACATGTAGAGTTACCTTACTTAGGAATTGATTAGTTACCACTCACTAACTTGCAGTGTGTAATATTTTAGTGGTTATCACTCTTCATCAAAACATTATCAGCCTCTGTATGCAGCAGTTAAATATTCTGTGTGTGGTATGGTAGAAGATAGCTGGAGGTTGCTTGGAATACAGATAACTGCTGACATGTTTGAACCAATTTACAGTGTTGAAACACCTGAGCTGGTGGTTAGAAATATGGGGGAATAGTGACCCTTTGGCAGCAGTTCTCATCCATCCAGCCCAGGCAGGAGGCATACCACAATGGTAATTACCTTGGAAGTACTATTTTGACAACACAGATATGTGTAAGTAATCATTTCCCCCTGCACAGATGAGATGTCACCTGGAGGGCTGAGGAGTGTGATCGTGTTTATGGTTCAGCATGTGACCTAATTCTGGTTTGATTTAGAACACAGAAGTCAGCAGGGTTTTTCATTAACTTAGGCAAGAAAACAACATTTCAAAAGTGGATGGACAACTTTACAACTTATATTAGATGTGATAGTTGGGGGAATACAAACATGTCAATACCTGGCACAATTCTTAACCTTTTCACAGACATACTAGTAGTCTGAAATATACCTTAGTTTAGCTTTTTATATTTTTTCTATGACATTTCTACACATAAAATGAAATCACAATCCCATCAGTCCAATTAACACTAAACTATTCCAGACTTCTGTGAGAAATATAGTTTAACAATGTATTAGATACGATTACTTACAGATACTTCAGGAGTAAAATGTAAATACACCAGAAAGTTTTATTGACATTTATTTGTTAGTAAAATGATGCTATGAAAATGTATTTTGTTTTAATTTTATCTTTTTATATGACTGAAAGTAGATATTTTGAAGTAGTGATGGTCACAGTTAAATAAACTAATTTGGTAGATGAAGTCTTCAAAAAACATCCAATCGGGAAATTGCTACCCTCCAATTTCAAATTGCTGTAGGACAAGAGTGCAAGTTGATATGAATTCATGGGTATGATAATGGGTTACAATGAATGCTGAAGGAGAACTAGATCAGTTCCTGTAAAAATATTAAGAAATAAAATATTCATCATTTGGAGTTACTTTGCACTACATACAGTTTTTGTTTTGTGTATATTGAATATTTTATCTTCATACTCCAGTGGCCTACACATTATATTCCCTGACTTAAAAACCAACAGTCGTAGCTATCTGAGTCATTTTGACATTTGGATAGTTGGTAAGCTGGGGGTTGGTTTTCAGTTGGCTGGATGGTTCATTTGTGAAGCAGTGTGATGCCAACAGTGTGGGTTCAACATGTAGGTTGAACACGTGCTGATGCTCTTCAGCTGAAGTCTGGTAATTTAGACATTTTATGAAACAAGACCTAATGGTGTTTATTGCAGCAGGACTAAATTACACATGAATGAACTTTGGTGATACTGGGAGCTCAAAATTACTGAATGCAAACATTTAAAGACCTTTTATTTAAATGTTTATCTTAAATATGTAATTAAAAACTGAGGTGCCCACAATCCATGTTGTACAATGTAAATGTTGTTTAAGTTGATTACGGTGATAAAGTATACAGCAAGTTCCCACTATAACAATATGACATTGGAGAGTAACTGAATTGTTACGGTGCAGAAGAAGGCTGTTTTGGCTAATTGTGTCTGCACTGGCATATCTTCAACTGTCTTTTTGCCATACAAGTGGATACAAATTAAAGTAATTTATGTGGATACCTAAAAAGTCATTTTAAAGAGAAAGTCCACAGTGTTTTGTAAAATTTGAGTTGAGGGAATTTTCTGCAATGAAATTCATTTCCTTCATTATTTGTAAATGTGTGCTACCAAAAGTAATGACATCTAGAGTTAATTTTATTGCATTTCTTGAAGAAAGGTTTAATTTGCTTTTGAGAATTTCTGTTTTGATTTGGTCTGATTTGAGCACCTCTCTACCTGGATCAAGCTGAATAGCATAGCAAATGGAAAAAGAGGAAAACATTTGATGGCAGCAAATAATGAAATGCATCAATTGTGTCAGCACTTTGCTGCAGCCACATCTGGCTTACTGTCAGTCTCCCATTAGATTCCTGTGGTTTTATATGGCAAAAATAATATGCTCTGTAGTTAATAGAATCATGATATTTGCAGTTTGCTTCAAAAAAAAAATCATGTTTTGCTCAGATCTTTGTCAGGCTTAACTTCCATCTGACTGCTGCCTTGTCTCTTTAAAATTTTACGATTCAGAGATCAATTGTTCTTTTGATCTATTCTTTTTCTTATTGCAGTGAATCCAGTAGCCTCAGCAGTAGTGATGCTGGCTTGTTTACCAATGATGAAGGAAGACAAGGTACAGATTCTTTTATTTCCCTCTTTAATGCAACTGCATGAAATTACAATTTTGCATTCTGCAGTATGATATCTAGTCTTTGACCTAACTTTTTAAAACCTTCCAGTTACAATAATCTGGGATTAAATTTTCCACAAATTTTGTTTAGGGGAGAAGAAGAGCATGAAGTGATGGGGTTCAAACTGGCTGTCCAGAGTTAAATGTGTGGGTGTTGCTTATGTTATTTGTTTCTGTTTTTTCCTTTCCACTGAGAGAAAAGTTTACAAATAAATACCTTAAATATATCTTTTGCCCAATATTCTGCACAATGACCAACAATAGCTAATTGTAATAAAGATGGACATAGAATACCTTATTGTTACACTTTTTTTCTCCCTCCCTCCCTCCTCTGTTGTCCCTTCCATGAAGTTGGTACTGTGCCACTGTCTTCCATCTTCTCGAAATTCAGAATCTCTTCTTTGGAAACTCTTTTTTTTCCCCCAGCTAATATATTTATCTACTGACGTGGAGACACACTTTTATGCAATGAAATATTCTGCCATATGTTGCACAGGCAAGATATTTAGATCTAATGACTCAGTCCAAGAAAGTTTTTGCAGCTGATATCTAGCTGCTATGTAATGTAAGATACAACATTCTCCAGTGTGTTTGTTCCCCATCCCTTTATTTCACAATTGTGAAAATTTTTTGGTAAATACTTTAAGGCTGATTTTTAAATGACTACTATATAAAACATTATGAGAAAGGGCAGGGTAGTCATGGAGGAAAGCTGGACTAATTGAAGTCCACTGTTTTCTAGGAGAGGGGAAATCGGAGGGCCAGCCACCCAGGCCACTCTTGGCACACCTCACCACCGTTTGGCAGCATTGACTGGGGTAGGTGCTTAGTGTGAAGAGACTCCATAAGAGGAAAAGATCAGACAAATGCCCCTTTCTCTTTGTAAAACAAAAATATTGTCTAGAAGATAAGTAGCAAGTGACCAAGAAAGGACATGAATACATTGTGATAATTTTTTCATATACCTGTAACCACAGGATAAATTATGGGATCCTGTTTGCACAAATGGAAAATTGCTTCTGGAAAAATCTGTTTCATGTGGAATGACAACACTGTCATCGCAGTTCTCTAACCTCATATTTTCTTTGTGTGGTTGACTGCTTTACAAAGATATGTGAGGTGAAGTAATGTAGAGGGGGCTTACGTGAAGTTAGACTTGCTGCAGTGGACGGATTGCTTCTGTGATGCAAACCAAGTAATTCTATGTATCCTATAATTGCATCATATATTTCCAAGGTTACATACCACGTATTAGACAGATGAGACTTTAAAGCACTTTCACCTTTATGCCGTTATGCAGGTGCTGTTTCTGTAATATTGTCTGGTCGTATCATAAGGACTCTTTGTTGTAAATTGATCCACTATGTCATAGTTGCAATGGACCAATATTAGGTTCAAATTACAGATCAATCATATTGTTGAACTCTATGATCATGAGGCCTACTTACTGCCTCATACCCTCCCAATTTAATGCCTGAATGGATCTTTTGCAAGACGTTTTGTCTTGTGGAGATCATAATCCTTCATCGCCTTGTATAGTTTAATTAGCTGTTTTAATATGGCAACATATTAACTGTGTTAAATGAATAGTACAAAATTTCTATTTTCATGCTCAATATCTGCTGAGTAATCCAATACCTTCCTCACAAAAACATTTCAGATATGTATCATGTGCAAGTATTTACTGTCAATTTTTCCCATTAAATTCTTATATTTCCACATTTAATATGGAAAATGGCTTTGTAAATGTGTCACACTGTAATTATACCTTGCAACCAGTTTTTCACCTCCCCGTCAACCCATATTACAGGATAACTAGTGTATGCTCTGAAGAACTCTTCTACTTTGCTTTCCAAATTGATAGTTTGCAATTTAATTGTACATATAATCAAAGTATTATATGAAATGGAAGTCGAAGTCTATTTCTTCAACATTAAGTACATCTGTATACTCTAGTTATATTTTCCTCATCCTCGATGTATTCCTTTCACATGAAAAACACTTGATTCCCTGTGAGCAACAACACAATATTAAAAGTTTCAAATGTGTTCCACTATATCTTGAATGTTTACATTTGTGCCCCATGATCTGTATACCATCTGTAATTTTACATGTAATGTTTGCACGTTGTGACATTCTTACATGTAAAGGCATTAAGAAACAGGTAGAGACTCAATTCAAGCATGATGTACAGTATAGAGCAGAAACCTGTGACTATGTTATTTTATGCTGGAAGTTGAGATGCAAGATGTATTGTGTGTGTGTGAATATCACTTACTTTTGAATTTAGAATTGAACTAGTGGCATGTGAATTTTGGTCTGTGTATGAGTGTGTTTTAATGAGTAGCTTGTTAATAGTGATGCCTTTTTTAAACCAGAATGAGAGGCGAAATTCCTGGGATGATGGTGGAAATCTGTTTGTATTGGAAGAGTTATGAATAAACCCATGTAAACACTGTGAGGAGTATTACCTTGCTTCAGTTTAGAAAGATCGGGATTTCTTTTTGCTTGAGAAAGTAGAAAAAAAAAGCTCTTGCTTTCAGTTCACAGAAGTTGTGGTTGATGTTAGATGCATAATGTAGTTTCTTACCAAGATATGAGTTAGTTTGGAACTTGTAGGAAATAAGCTAACTCAGTGAAAGGAGTTTAGTGTGAAAGTTCCAGACCAGATGTGTTTGGTTAGAACTCAGAAGTTATATAAAGCTGAGAAAGTCTAAACTCAGTTATGTGACTCATCAAGGAAGAGGCTATCAAATGCTCAAGACTGGGATTGCTGTAAGCAGCTAAGTCGAACATTATAAATGTAATATAGGACAAATTCTTTCTGGTTGTTTGAGTACTATAAAGTGATGGTATTGAGATACTGTGTGCTTTGGAATCTTTGTGCAATATGTAAATAGTTAGTTTTATCTTCTTTCCTTCTGCATAATAAACTTCTCTGTTATTCTTAAAGCCAACTCTGCAGTACTGTGTGCTCATATTTCAGTAAAAGCCCAACCCACTAAATGTTTAACAAAAAAAGCAAAATATTGTCCATCAAACCAGATTTCAGTGTGGGATCAGGCTTGATCTTACAATAACATCTGGGATCATACAAAGTGCTGGAAATCGATGCAGCCTTTTGTCATGGGTAGTAAATTGGTTGGAAACTGGTACTCACAAGGGAAGTGATCATGTGTATGTGGCAGCATGGGACTAGCTATATGTCCCAGGGAGCTTTATTCCATTTTCCATTATCTTTATTAATGACTTTGAAGGAAGAGAGTGTTTATACCCCAGTTAATTGACATCCAAAGATATGTAAGTAAAAGTAGAAAGTTGCAAAGAGACACTGATAGATTTAATGAGTGGGCAAAACCAGTATAATGGACAATATGAGACAATGTGCAATTATTTGAACATAAAGATATATCAGGGTATTTGATTTATGATCAGGGTTGAGGAATTTTAGAAGAGCTGTTGGATTTAGGTGCCCTTTTACAGAAGTTACAAAAAATTATTGAGTAGGTTTAATAAATTAATAAAAGGGCTATTGATTTTAGGGGTTTGTGATAACAGTTACTCAATTATAAGCAATTGATTTGTAATTAATTTTCTGAGTTTATTGAGTTTGTTAAGAAACAGCCATTTAATTATGATATTAGTTAATTAGATAAAGAAAGTATACAACCATGACAACTAGGGATGGTTCACCGATTACTGGTGAGCAAACAGGCTGTCAATACAAAATATTTTTCGTGTTAAATTTGTGGGTCAGCATCCTGCTCTCTAGCTGAAGTATTTGGGAAATCTTCCCGAGATCTTCCTCCGGTTCTTGTGGTCCATCTTCCATCAGCCTGGTGAGGACTGCTCAATGAAGATTGCTACTTACAAAGTCTTCTTCAATGAAATCTCCCATTTTAAAAAAAAAACTTTCCTTTGTTCTGGTGTGGTTACTCCAGCATGGATATGGCCTAACTTTGTCATGTTTACTCCAGCGTGGAATGTGGCTCCTGACCTCTCTTGACCCTTGTGCGGCTTTCTCAATGCCGATTTGGCTTCCCTACATTCCTGGCGCCAGTACAGTTATTTCAACATGGAAATGGCCTAACCTCTGCAGGTTTCTCCCAGTGCTCCCTGACCTGAGTACTCCTCTTTGAGCCTGGTACATATTTTTATATTATACTTCCAGGGGCAGGTAACTGTCGCTGTGTCAATCAATTGTTTGAACCCTTTTGGCCAAAGGCAATTCGACAGCCATTCGTGATGGCGGATGATTGTTGTCCTCTTGTCTGCCTTCATCTGATGGTTAGTTCTCATCCCTCTGAGAAGAAATCATTTGTTTTTCTAAAACCTTGTCCTGATAGGGTGTGTGTGGTACCAGATAAATTGAATCAGAGATAGTAGGAACTGCAGATGCTGGAGAATCTGAGATAACAAGGTGTAGAGCTGGATGAACACAGCAGGCCAAGCAGCATCAGAGGAGCAGGAAGGCTGACGTTTCGGGCCTAG